TAAAATCACAGCTCTGTAACATGATTGCATACCTTGTGGGTTAATGGCATGCTCCTAGTTTGACTCCAACTCAATGGTTGATTTTCCTCATCATTCAGTTTGCGAATTGCATTTTGCTCGGCCTATAGGAAACATCATCATCAATAATTATCAACAATTAATACAATTGCTGTATCTTTAAATAGAATTCAAAGACAGACAAGAAACAAATGTGAGAAAGACTTATTCCAGACCCTGCTGATGACTTGGCTTGTTCTTAATCATACCTTTACAGCATCTAGAATTTTCTGGTTGTCATGGAGGTACTTGACAATCCATGTCATGGCGCTAGCTGTGGTGTCTTGAGCAGCAAAGAGCACTCCAATAATGTTATCCGCGATTTGGTCATCGGTTAAGACTTCTCCTTTCTCATCTTTTGAGTTCAACAGACAACCCAAGAGATCCTTTTCTAGCAACCTCTTCTCTTTTCTTTCACAAATAATATCACCAAGAATCTTGCTTAACCTCTTTCTTGCCTGTAGGACATCCATTTTTTAGAAATTATTTGAAGAGTCAATGCATGTCGAAGGACAATTTATGAGACATCATATAACAAAATCTGATGGCAAATGTACTCTTGTTTGTTACGCTCACCAGCACTGCCTTCTTGAAAGGAGTTCCCGGGAGGCTTGTTGGAAAGGAATTATAGCCTTTATCCACAATTCTGTAGTTCCTTTTCAATTCTTCTCTATAATGGGCTTCCAAATTGCCAAAAATTGCTAGTATTCCTACCTCAAAAGAGAACTGCAAAGATAAAGCACAAATCCATGAGAATTATAAGGATTCCGAGTAAGAGCATGTAAATAGTGCAAACAGGACCTTTAAAAGGGCTCGTTTGCACAAGCAAGGAATATAAAACTATGTAAAGATTCACTAAGAATTAACACTTAAAGAAAGCCATATAGAATCTAGGCTGGGTGCAACAACATATCAAAAGTAGAAAAGTGGCATTAAAAAATTGATCTGTGCTAAATGTTGACTACATATTGAACCGCACCAACTAACCTTTTTCATTTCTTGGAAGGTGTTAAGGACATGTCCACCATCCCATGAGTCTAAGGTAGAGGCTGCTGTAGCTGAAATATCAGCAACCAAATTTCGAATTGCATCCAGAGACAAGGATACCTGAACCAACTTCCTTAGACGGACATGGTAATCTCCTTGATGAAAAAAAAGAGCTGACGGACCGATCAAATGTTCCTTGCTTTTGGGATACGTTGGCTTGAACAAATGAGCTTGAGTCACAAGCACAAACCGAGCTGCCTCAGGGCTAGCCAGCATAACACTAGGGCAACCAAGAATATGGGTCTTGAATATTTCTCCATACCTATATCACCATGTACACCACATTCAATTGCATGCAAACAAAATGTTCAAAAAGAAAACTAACACGCATTGGAGGGAAATAAATGATGAAATCAGAAGGATTCAAAGATGATCATGGGAAATAATTAAGAGTGGACCAAGAAAAGAACCTTTTTTGTTTGGAAGCAAAGAACACATTTGGGTCTTGAGAGTAGAGTTGAAGAGTCTCTCCTATGTAAGGCCATCCCAACGAACCTGGTGGGAGCTTAATTCCTGTGCAGGGTTCTTTGTTGTTTCTTTTCTTAATGATATAAGCCACTACACTTGCAAGAAAGATGAGAACGTAAGCAAGAATCCCTCCCATCTCTATCTCTATCTCTGTCTCTGTCTCTCCCTCCCCTGAGAGATGGTTTTAACAGCAGTATCGCACAAGGTATTAGAATTGGTTGTTCTAGTCATGGTGAGAGCGGGAGAGGAAGTCGATTTATAGATGTCCAAAAGAATAAAAGACAAAAAAAAAAACATCTAATGTGACCTCTCTAGTTATATATGGTATTAATTTAATAGGAAACAAATCCAGACAACTTTTCATTACACGGGCGAATTTTACCATTGAGGATATGGATATATATGCACACTCATATAAACAGTTTGGAAACTTTAGCTACCCTATATTTTTAAAAAAATTAATTTTTTAATAAAATTTAATTTTTTTATATATTTAAAATTGTTCTGATACACTAATCATAAAAATAATTTTTTAAAAATAAAAAATATCATTTTAATATATTTTAATATAAAAAATATTTAAAAAACAATCATAATGACACTCTAAACAATCACTCAAGCCTATCCAGATGTTATACAATTTCTTGCTAAGGCCTACTCTTTATTGTAGGTCCAAGAATTCACCATCCATTGTCTATCACTCCTGTTTACTGTGTTCATATAATCTTCCAAGTGACCACACAGAATCACTAATCCTTTTTACTTTCTTATTCCTACCCCCCAAGTCTAGAGTGAAGAATTGCTTCACCAATGTCTAAGGGCTTTTTTGTCACCCATGTAGGCATGTGGGGATAGGGGCCTTTTACTGTTTACGTTCTTGCTCTATCTAGTTGTCTACCATATTTATGGACTGCACTTAACAGATTGAATTTGGCTTTTATGGTAAGAATGGTGTTGGTGGTGGTGGTGGCAAGGGAGAGTACTTGGTAGAAACTCTAGATTCGTGGGAGAAAGCTCTGTATCACAGAAGAATCAAAAAGCATTGATGATTATGTTCATATGCTTCTCATTAATTCAATTTGCCTGTTGGTCTTTAAAATACAACTATGCTATTGTATACCTGTCATGTGTCCTGTAATATAGAACAAACATAGAAGAGACAAAACTTGATTCGTTAAATTTATAAAAATATAAATATAAATTAAATCCGTCTTTAAAATAATTTTAAAATAAAATTTTGTTATTTTAAAATATTAAAAAAATACAAAGAACAGATATAAAAAACACAACTTGTTTTGTTAAATAGATAAAGACAAAAATATAAAATAAACTTGTCTTTAAAATACTTTTAAAGTGAACTTCTGTTATTTTAAAATATAAAACAAATAGAAAAAAATATAAAAGACACGAAACTTCTTTTCTTAAATAGATAAAGATAAAAACATAAAATAATTAAATCCATTTTAATATAATTTTAAGATGAATTTCTGTCATTTTAAAATATAAAAGAAAATTTATACATGATCTTTGTTCCAATAATCTCATAATAATAATCAAACTCCACAAAATCCTGGTTAAAATTTACGTGCTTAAAATTTCCAACAAACCCCGCCATAACGTGAAATCCAAATCAAATAGATCAATGAAGATACTCCCATACAGCCTCATGAATAGAAATTTCTAGGAATTTCATACAAAAGTTGATCGATTTTCAACTCTTCTATTTGGTAGTTTGGGCAGGTAATCTGACGTGATGCCACCGTCCTATTTAATCAATCCAAGAAACAACTAGTGTCTTCTTCTTGACTTTCATGGCCTTCTTACAACTTCTCCGGCGTAAGAAGCTGGAAGAAATCAGTTTATTGTTGGTCCTGGCGGTGCTATTTTGTTTTTTTTTTTAGAGCTTAATAATAATGTTAAACATGTCACAGAACAACATCAATTAATCGTAGTTGTGTTTGATTTATCCTCGACATTTATGGTATTACATTCGACTACAAAACATGGAACACACAAGCGCACACTAGAAGACATTCCCTTCGGACCACCACGACTAGCTAGTTCTTCCATATGGCTCAGAACTTGCCGTACGAGTCCTCGTTAATTTGCTGAACATTGAAGCACCGCCTCATTAGCGGCGTGATTGATACGAGTCTTCATTTGACCGTTAGGGTTGATAGTAATGAGACTTAAGGATAAGTGCAATTCGTTTTGCTTCCGCTGCAGGGCAAAGAAACAAAAATGGAAGTGACGGTGTATCGCGGGAGTTCACATATCTCTGGATAAAATAGACAAATACTGGAAAAAGGAAAGGGATAAAAACGTGTAAGATATAGAAATATAAAATAAATTTATTTTTAAAATATTTTTGAACAAATCTTTTTTTAACAAAATAAAAATTACAAGAGGATATGTACATATTTGGGAGTGTAGTTGTTTTTTTAAAGTGTTTTTTATTTTAAAATATATCAAACTAAATTTTTTTATTTTAAAAAATTATTTTTGAAATAAGTATAAAAAAATTCAAAAAATAAAAAAATAATTTTTTAATAAAAAATAATTTTTTAAAAATATAAAATTGACCTACATTTTCAAACACCATCTATATCCTCTTTCTCCCTACTATATTTAAATTGAAAAATAGAGTCAAGAGTATTAAGATATGAATATTTGGTTTGAATTTCACGATTCTATTAGGAGAGATCGACAGGGGCAAAGGTAGAGACGGGAGCTTGCAGGGGCCAGCTCTTGCGAGGAGATTTTTACTCGGGCCCTCCTTAATAATGTTTATAGTTTTAGCCTGGAAAATTAAAAAATCTGAAAATTTACCCCCTTTAATATTTTTTCTAATTTACCCCCGTTAATTTCATTTTTTTAGCTCCGTTCCTAAATATAGGAGTCTTAGACCTACAATTTCTAGTTTCATATGAGCATACATAGAATTAAAGTATGAAGAATGGTTTTAATTTTAAAATAGTAACTAAACACTAACAATTGTTTTTAATGAGAATCTCCATTCCTTGATCAAAAGCTTTTTGGACAAATTAAATAGATGATTGTATTGGTGAAATATTATTACTGTGATGTTGATGTTGAATTCTCAATGGAGCCGGCCTTCAAAAGCAATTCTCAGTATGGTCAATTGGGGTATAATTTCCAGGGACTCGAGTTCGAATCAATATTCTATTGTGAATAGAGTTTTGGAAGAAAAATCGTGTAAAAAATAGAAAGATGATGAACCAGTGAAAGCAGTAAATGAAGATGAACAAGAATTGTATTTCGCGACACACGCATGCTAAAGTGCAAGATTAGTGCTGGTTCACCTCGTGCATCGTGCAATCAAGGATTTAATTTATGAACACTTTCAATAATTGTGATTAATTATCTGATTACCTTTTGATTGATTGAGAAATTCTAGTAAATTCTAGTCAATCACATGTCACTTCAATCCCAGTCTCGACTCTACAGCAACGTGGTAAGAAGCAGACAACGAACCCAAATTCATACATGGAAGTTGATTGAGGTTTATTTTTTTAAAATACAATTAAATATATATATATATATATATATGTACAATAAAAAAAACTAAGAAGATTGCGCATCTCAAAAATTATTTTTAAAAAATATTTTATCCACAAGTTAACAACTCATTCTGATTATAAAAAACATATAAGAATAAGAATGAGTTGTTAATTAACTAATCTTCATTCCTTGATCAAAAGCCTTTTTTTTAATTATTAGAATTTATTATTTGATAAAAATAAAAACAACTTAGTTATCTTTCATTTTTTTTTCTCTCACCTAATATAAACCATTAGATTTAAATTTACAATGAGAATTAAACTATGTCCATTCATGCTTTTTTAAATTTCAAACTCCACTTTTATTTATTAAGTAGATGTTTGTTTGTCATAAGACACTTTTTTAAATAATTAATATAAGATCTTAATTACAAAAATATAATATTTTACCTAAAGTCATCAAACTCGCAATATATCATATAATTAATTATTATTGTTATTGTCATCATCATAATTATTGCAGCCTCTACCATTACCCTCCCCATCCCAGCAACAACTGACACCGCCAGTCCTCCTTCGCAGAAACTCTCGGGAGGGGTAAAATTTGTTTCCAGGCTGAGATTACCAAAATGTGGGAAACGAGCCGTGTAAGAATAGATAGATAGTTATTCATGACTTACTGAAAGCACTGAAGAAGTTGTATTTCGTGACACACGCATGCCCTAAAGTCAAAGATTAAGATTGAGTTTCTGTTTTAGACAGCAATCCCAAATTATTAAGTATGTTTGCCATTACTTAGAGCCATCATTATTATTCTAGTTTACTTTTGATTTCATCTCTTACTGTATATTTTCTTTGTTTGAGAGCTTGATGAAGACGTGCCTTGGGTCAAACAAAATGGTCGAAAGATCTCCCTTGGTACGCCCATTCTTGCGTGACCTAACTATCCAATTTCGATCTTTAAACAGACTTGCATCCCGGGTGGGGCAGGTCTAGCTTGATCTTATTGGCAATGATCCCTGCATGAAAACGCGCTTTAGTGGCTTCTCCGTCCAATGTGCCCTAATCTCGATCCTTATCCTTTCCTTGGGCTTCGGGTCGTTTCCTCACATCAGTCATGACTCTCTTAACTTAAAGGTTGTGAGCTGGATTATTCTTTCTATTCTTCCCCTCTCCCGTTGCTCGAGTGATGCTCGAGTGAATACAAATAATATTATAATGAATATTTATATTTTATATTATTCAAGTTTATTTTTATATATATCAATTTTAAATAATTTTATTTTTTTATTATTTAATATAATTTTATCTTAAGCATTCTATATAATTTTATTTTTAAAAATATTCAATATAATTTTATCTTAAGTATTCTATACAATTTTATTTTTAAAAATATTTTTTAATTATCATGGATGGAGTTATTGGCAAACACAATCTATTAGTATTATTCAAAAAGTTGGAAAAAAATTTATTATATGTGCCATTATTACCAATGAAATTAGTCCATCGGTAATTTACTAATAGGAATACAAATGAACTTAATCTGACTATATATTTTAGAGAATTGAAAAAAATTTACTACATATGTTACTATCACCGACAGAATTATGCCAACAAAATTATTACAGCGGGTAATTTTTTTAACATGTGTTTTTCATCTGTAAAACAATTTGTTTTAAAAATTTTATTACTGATAGAATTAACAATAAAAAATGGCATTACCAACGAATGCATTTTATCGATGAATTAGTTAGTAAAATTTTGATTGATGGAATTGTAATCTCATGCTGATGAAAAACTTTTATCAGTAAAACTGTTAAATATTATAGTATTACATCAACATTATTGTTGAAATATTAATGAAAGTTTCATATGCCTATAAAAAGCGATTTTATATTATTTTATACACCATACTAATATTGATAAGATCAACCCTTGTAATTATCTTTAATGTTAATTTACAATAGATGACCCTTAAATGATTTTTAGATTTTTATATTGAATGTTTAGATATTAAGTAATTTTATGTTCAAGGATGTTGATATCAAACCCGTAAATGTTTGAACCTGATTCATAGCTAGACATAGAAAAGTTGAGTTTAATATTTTAGTAGAACCATAAATACTTATATTTAGCACTAAGCTCAAGAAAATAAGATTGAATATCTTGCAAAACCTTTTTTCTATAGGTCTTCGTTTTTTTAGGCCCTTATTCTAGATTTTTGTTCTTTCGGTTTCTTTAGACATGGGTTTTAAGAGGAATTTTTTTTATATGAATCACATCATTAGGTGACATTTAATATATATATATATATATATATATATATATA